GAATGATATTAGTCAGTACATCAAAATTATGGAAATTTTTACAAAATCATGCTATGTAAAAGTAGCTCTGGCCAAGCCTAAAATAGCTCCCGTAAAAAAAATTACGAGAGCTCTTTTTTTCATACAAAATCAAAAAAGAGCTCTCGTAAAAAAGAGTAATTTTTAGGCTGGTCCTAACGTTGTATTTCCCATTCGTTCACATCGCTTATGTGTTCGTACAATTAGCCTCGAGTCAGCTAAGTAGTTGCTTGGTAGTAACACCTGGAGGTTGCCTGTTGTCATCAAGTCCTACATTAGATATCCACGTCACGATTAGGCCACACCCACTTTCAAATCGTTGATTTTACTGGATTTACTATTGCTTCAAAAGTTACAAAAACACATTTTTTTGATATAGTTTATTGTTTTTTACTGAAAAAATATAGTTGTGTTCACATAAGAAATATATGACCGGACGCGTAGCCTGGGAGCTGGGCGTCCGGTAATCAAGTCCTACATTAGATATAGTGTTTATTCGTAGTCGAACGTTAGTCCTTCAGGCTCCAGCCACTTCTTGTTCAGTTGGTCCACCATGTCGTTCAGCTCGGGAGTGAAGTAATTCTTCCAGTCTCCAATTTTTCCTGTGGATGTAGTGAACCGAGGTTAATTTGTGGCAGGCTTACAGCAAAATGCATTTTCTTCTCTCAAGGGCAATTATATCAATAACGCTGATGTCTTGCTTTCTCTGAAAATGAAACCTGAGAACATAATAACGAATGGTGGCGTGTCTGCTAACCTTTGCACATGAAAGCGCCCATTCCAGCATGTAAGTTTTGTCTGAACAGACTCATAACTAGCGGCGCATAGCGTTTATGCACATCTGAATGCTCCCGGTATGTACCGATATTGCTGGTGATACAAAGCTGCTGCTTGATACTTGCTTTACTATGAAATGAACACAGTTACACACTACGAATGGTAGTGTGTCTGCTCACCTTTACGCATGAAATCGCCCATCCCAGCTCTCGTGAATCCAATGTTCTGCAGATGAGATTGGTTGCTTGCAGAATTGTTCTTCATCGTCTTGAATGTGCAGTGTTCGACGATGGTTTGCACTTGCTCCTCAGTTAGCTCCTTGTCCAGGAATGCCGCTATCCTCTTCACCTCCTTGTTCAGATCCTAGGTTTGTAATATCACCAGGAAGACGGTGAGTGAAGGAGAATTAGACCATATTTGTCACTCAGTTCCGTATGAATTTTGCATAGTGATACATAGGTTAGTCTGGCTTTTCGTAGGCACTTAACTCTACTGTCATACAAATTGTGCTTTTTTGCAAGTCTGTTGTTACCTGTTATTAAAGCAGATATACAGGTCAAACTTTCTTTTCGTAGTTATCACGTTGTGTGTTTTGTTATCAACTAAGAATATTGAATAATATAATTGGTAAGCACAGAAAGCCATTGCGAACTACAGCAAACTGAATACTGAAGTGAGATTTACCGTAATCATGTCTTCATACTTTAGCAGAAGCATATTCGGTTCGTCTCTTAGCCTCCAGTAGTCAAGGTGATGGTCCCAAAAAGATCCGTGACCAACTGCAAATGATGTGGATAGTTGGATAGTGGATAGGCATGTAGTTAATGAGATTTTAAACTAATATGTACAGCAAAATTCATGTACGATTATACTCGTAGCCTCATAGCAGCTGCTTACCCACAATATCCATGAAGAACTCCTTTGCAAACTCCTCGAAATTGCCTTTGTAGTTGAAGAGCGTTAGCATCTTTAAGAAGTGGTACATTGAAACACAAGTGTCCTTTGGATTTCTCATCGTATAGATAATCTGTGGGAACACACACGTGTGATTGATGTATTATTAATTATTGCCTCGGGGTGGCAGTACTCATTTGATGGTTAGCACCTTGCCGTGGCTGCTACAACTCGAAGCTGACACAATAATATCGAAGGATATAAAGTGTCGATTGACCAACTTATTTATCACTACAGCCTGCACTTACTATTCGTAACACAGCAATGTTGCTACTGAGTGAGGCGTGAGGCACGTCACAGTGAGACAGTAAGTACATGTAGGAGGAGCGTACAGTACAGTGACTCTTGGCTTACCTTTGGCTTCTTTTCCCTTATCTGGTGAGGCAGTACAGGTAGTGCGAGGTGAGTCTTAATTAGACGTGGCGAGGGCATCTTTTTGATCGCAGGCCTCCGATTACTGAACGGGTACTCAAAGAACGGGAAGCGTGTATCCAGTTCTACAGTGTTGGCCGTTTCTCTGTCGGCGTTGTTGCATACGAGCCAGACGATTTCCTGCGTCCATGTGGTACCTGGACAGCAATATATTGATTCCTCATTACTCGCGGCAGCGTAGAGATTCATAATTGGAAACCAGGCATATTGATTTCAAAGTGAGAGCACTCACTCACTCACGCTGTGGCAGCATGTGTGACGACATGACCGGTGCGTATCCAGGGGGTGGCATGTGAGTGGGTGTGTGGTGGTGATGGGTGGGTAGCTGGGATCTGAGGCCAGCAAGTGTCTGGGGTTTAGCCGGGATTCGAGACCGGCGCGTATCAGGGGTGTAAACGAGATTTGAGGCTAGCGCATATCAGGGCTAGAGCTTGGATTTGAGACTCATATATATAAGGGGTTGAGCAGGGGTTTGAAACAGGCACGTATCTGGGGTTTAGCCGCGATTTGAGACTCGTCTCGTGTATAGGGGAGACTGGTTCGTATCAGGGGTGTTTCTGGGATTTGTGACCCGGCGCGTATCGGTGCTTTAGCTAGATTTCAAAAATGGGGTGTCGAAGGCTCAAAGCTTTTCTTAAGAGGGTCTGAAATTTTGAAAAATTTATGAAATGTCTTGCAATCTGCCAGATTTTTGAGTAGAGATTTCTATCATTTTAGGTCATTCAAAAATGTGTTATTCACAAAATTTCGCTGTCTTACTAACATGCCATTGAAAAATGACCGGGATGAAAATGTTCGGCTCTATAGCGAAGTCGGTGTTTTGTATACTCATACCTCGACAGTGCCATCACGGGCATTTTATTTAATAATCGATACCAGACAGATTCTGTACTGTCCCTGCGGAGTGTTACCACTCTGGGGGTGATGAGAGCTTTTTTCCTAGGGAGTTACAGTAAACTGCCTAGCCCAGCAAATGCCAATGTTGCATACATCTTATTTGTACTTAAATTATATACATATTGTTGTTATTATTAATTATTGTTGCACAATTATTACATTATGCATTATGCATGTTGGTGTACACTTGGTTATCTACAACTGGTTTCTGCAGTCTTGATGCGACGACGTCACTTTCAACAGCATTTTTCTTCCAACGTCCTAACGTTGTATTTCCCATTCGTTCACATTGTTTATGTGTTCTTACAATTAGCCTCGAGTCAGCTAAGTAGTTGCTTGGTAGTAACACCTGGAGGTTGCCTGTTGTCATCAAGTCCTACATTAGATATCCACGTCATGATTAGGCCACACCCACTTTCAAATCGTTGATTTTACTGGATTTACTATTGGTTCAAAAGTTACAAAAACACATTTTTTTTATATTGTTTATTGTTTTTTACTGAAAAAATATAGTTGTGTTCACATAAGAAATATATGACCGGACGCGTAGCCTGGGAGCTGGGCGTCCGGTAATCAAGTCCTACATTAGATATAGTGTTTA